CGAGAGCATAGTAACAAATGTCCAATATTTAGCAGGAATACGATTTTAAATATACCATTTAGCGGTAGGCAGCGGCTTGGCCCAGCCCCTGGCATTGCTGAAGTCCATGGGCGACGGTAACCACTCACCATCAGGTGGGCCGTATGCTCGTCCGCCCACAAGGGCAAAAAAAATAAAAAAAACACAAGGCGTATACATGTCTTGGTTAAGAAATCGTAGATTTTTGAACAACAGAAAATACTGTAGTGAAAATGTAAACAAGGGAAATATTCTATAATTTTCTGTCCATTTTCTAAGATCGACTGTAATATGATTTTTGTATTTATAATATAGGAATATTTTTACGCTTTCATTTCACAACTTGTACCAAGATAAAGCAGTTGAAACTTTGTAGCTGTGCGCTCATTGTTCAGACAGGTACGGCGCCAAGTTTTTGTCTCAACTTCCTTCCTTCCGAGTGCGGGTCGCCTTAATTTCTCTTCTCTGTGAGGTTATGTTGAACGTACGTGACTTTAAACGACTGACAAGTTTTTAACTTTTGCATTGCGTTAGTGCGAGTGTGAGTAGAATATGTGAGGTCCCTTTTACGTGTGGCAGGCGGACACCAAGATTCTGCCTATTTTTGTCGAGATATATTTTGGCTTCTGGTATGTTCCTCTATTTTTGTAGCCGGGTTGAGTTCGCGGCTTCCCTGTTAACAAGTCGTCCGCGTTCTACCGTAAGTGACGAACGTCCGAATAACATTAGTTGTAAATACATCGATCTCATAATTGCAGTATTGAAGATATTCGTCGTCGTGGGTTAAAGGATAAGACGTCCGGTGTATTCATATCTAGCGATGCACCGGTGTTCGAATCTCGCAGGCGTGTACCAATTTTTCTAATGAAATACGTACTTAACAAATGACTTCCACGGTGAAGAAATAACATCGTGTAATAAAAATAAAACACAGAAAATTATAATTTGCGTAATTACTGGTGGTAGGACCTCTTGTGAGTCCGCACGGGTAGGTACCACCGCCTTACCTATTTCTGCCGTGAAGCAGTAATGCGTTTCGGTTTGAAGGGTGAGGCAGCCCTTGTAACTATACTGAGACCTTAGAACTCACATCTTAAGGTGGGTGGCGGCATTTACGTTGTATATGTCTATGGGCTCCAGTAACCATTTAACACATGGTGGGGCTGTGGGCTCTCCAACCATCAAAACAATAAAAAAAAAAACAAAAAAAAATGTTTATGAACCTTCGCATTCTCGTGGTAATTCAGACGCCAAACGATTTTTGAAGGAATCGGTATGTTCTTACATCAAAGCGGGACGCTTCGTAAAAACAACAATTACACGATCTATCGGTTTCAAACTTTGTGTTTTGGATGGGAGAACGAACGAACCGTAACTATGTTGATACAGTTTACAAAGAAAAATCTTTTCTTTTCATACAACAACAGTCAATCGATTTGGACAAACTATGTTTTATTGGCATTTGCAACAAACCACTTTGTATTTTTTTTGCAGTAAGAGCGTTTTTTCTATGATTGAGGGCTTACTGGTGGCCCGGAGGCCTTTTCAGATTCACAAGGGCAGGTGGGCGAGCAAGGGCTCAGCCAGAAGGGGCGGGATTTGCTAACAGCTACCCGAGCGCCTCCAAGGGAGACCTAACAACTCAAGAGTAGCTGCTTCGCGAATGAATCTACTACCGGATCAGAATCGCGACCCGCTGAGAAGATCCGGCGAGAAACTCAACGGGCTGATGCTTAGGTTAAGTTACTTAGAGCGTACTAACACAATGATGTGCCTGTTGTATTTTTGGACATTAATGTCACCTTAGATGCTATAGAGACAAAGTCTAAATTCCATTGCAACTGTGGTCAATCTTTACTCGATATATTACATACTCCATTTGATTTCAGGCGGACATTCAACTCGACTATTTACGCCTATAAAAGGTATTGTTGTTAGCATTTCCTGATGATACTTTTTGTTTATTGAATAGACTGAGCCCAGCTAGTGTTAAGTAGTTATCTGTACGGCTTTGCGAGCGGTTTGAACATAGTAGGCAGCAGCGATTTGACTATGCTCTTGACATTGCTGAGGTCAATGAACGGCAGTGAGTACTTAACATCAATTGGGTACGCATGCTCGTCTGCCTACAGAGGCAACAAAGAAAACCCTTTAGCACAGGAAGTTGAAGTTCAATTCAGATCGAACAACTATTTTGCACAATAATTTAAGGCAATTTGAACTTAGGCAAAATCGCATCGCGCGATTCTAGTACACTGGGAGTCTCTCTCTTTAGGTCATGATGACTTCAATGTATAATGACGTCATCACTATATGCCCATTTACCTCGTGACTTGGTATCACCGATCCTGTGGACCGAATGATAAACGCTAGTCAACCTAAACACGTCATTACGGATCAGGAGATCCATTAATGGGGCTTTTATGTACCTTAAGCATCGGTCACCGTCCACGCCGAACCCGTCGCTTCCAACGAAGGGCTCACCGAGTAAATTAACCCCTATGGGCTTAACTATCCCTATGGGTTGAGTTTCTCGCCGGGTCTTCTCAGTGGATCGTGTTTCCGATTCTGCGAAGCACTGCTTTTGCTAGAGCCAATGTTAGCAACACTTCCGGTTTGAGCCCCGAGAGCTCACCTACACGCTAGGCTGAAGCTGAAATAGCCTCTCAAGGCTATCACCATAGGTAGGAAAAAATTACCCATCTAAAAAATAAATAATAAAAACACCTATTTAGATATAAATCTTCAAATACTCGAAAACATTTTTCGGAATGTTCTAGAAAATTTTAACGTCTGTTCGGCTGCTACTATACTCGTATCCGTCTCAAGCCGGTTTCGATTCTATAAAGTCGTTGGATAAAGGTGAATTCAATTTTGCCTTTCACAAGATCCTTTTCTTATTTGTGGGCGCTTTCGAGGAGCCGATATCACAAATAAAAGCCGACCATTGATATTTAAAAGTTTAGTGACTTTCATGATTATTGAAGATATTAGCGATAAGACTTTTGTATGGATATCTTTTTATTTTCTCTCGCCTTCGGTATTCGCAAGCCTCAATTGCATGTGTCTCAACGATGTTTGAGAAGTGTAATAAAGTTTGACGGTAGGCAGCGCTCTATGTGGTCCAGATATTGCTGAAGTGTCGTCAATGGTCGGTAATGACCATACTCTGTCAAGAGACATCTCCAACTAAGTGCCAACAGTTCAAATGATATAACGACCTTATCATACGCCTCAAGGTGGGTGGCGATATTTGCATTGTGATGATTATGGGCTCTTACCATTTTAACAGCAAGTGTATTGTAGCTCGTCTAGTAATTCGAGGTAAAAGGAGATAGACAGAGACAGGGATATCTACCGTCTATATCTACAGAGCAGGTAGTATGTTACCCGATCCGTTTTCAGGTTTTTGGGATTTTCTAATTGCTGCCTTAACACCTCCGAAGAAGATCTAATAGCTTAAGGGCAGCTGCTTAGGGAATGCATCCGCTGCCGTATCTGGATCCAAGCGCGTCGTTTTTATAATTCCACACATCGCGATCCCCTCGATGGAGCCTAACCTAGTCCAAAACATTCTAAATAAATTTATTAACAAATTATCTGACCCGCAGACTTCGTAGTGCCTCAATCGATAAATAAAAGACCTAAACTTTTGTATAAAATAAACTTAAAACAAACAAAAGGAGTCCATCCGACGGGGGACACATCAAAGGGATAACAAAATTGTTATTTTTATTTAATTCCGCGCATTTTCATATTTATCTACCTTTGAAACCTTCTCTGGACTTCCACAAATAATTCAAGACCAAAATTACTCAAATCGGTCCGGCCATTCTCATGTTTTAGCGAGACTAACGAACAGCAATTCATTTTTATTTATATAGATAATAATAACAATTCAGCCGAAACGCATTTAATCCTAATCTTCATAAATAAATTCAAAGTGAACTAAAACTGCAATTATATTACAATGCAAAATGGCTGTTTGTCTAAACGATAAATTTGGTAACACATGTTATGTTTGTACCGCTGTGCTGCATTAAACGTTCATTAAGTTACAAAGTTAATATTAAGGTGTCTCCGCGGAGTCGTTGGATTACAAACGGGAGAATTTAGATGGCGTAAAAAAGGGATTAAAATTATTTTTTTGTTTAGAACAAAAAGTATTAATTTGTTTTCTCTTATGAGTTATCAAAATCTTGTCGGGTGGGTCTCGGGAAACCAAAATCCGACGGCACGGAAAACATTGTGTAATTTTATAAACAATTTTTACTGGTGGTAGGACCTCTTGTGAGTCCGCGCGGGTAGGTACCAACATCCTGCCTGTTTCTGCCGTGAAGCAGTAATGCGTTTCGGTTTGAAGGGTCGAGCAGCCGTTGTAACTATACTTGAGATCTTAGAACTTGTATCTCAAGGTGGGTGGTGCATTAACGTTGTAGATGTCTATGGGCTCCACTAACCACTTAACACCAGGTGGGCTGTGAGCTCGTCCACCCATCTAAGCAATAAAAAATTAAAAAATAACTGCATATTTAGTAGTGGCCGAATGAATTGTGAGTTCGAACAAAAATATCCTCATTCTCAGTTATTTCTACGCCGAATCAGTAGGTGACGATTCATAATTGAGTCCTAAATAGCCACGGTGTGGTGCTGCGGGGATCAGACCAAGGCCTTATATACGTAGAATGGTAGGAAACTTACACACAGTCTACCAACTCTGTTACCAGTGTAAGAATGCTAAACAAGCACTGGGGAGCAATGATTGATTTGTTGGCGCAGTAGTTAGCGCAATGAAGGCTTGGCTGAAGGTTCTGAGATCCATTTCCATATCGGCCAATCATTCGTGTGACGAACACATTTGTTTGCCCTTTATCTAGATGTTATATATATGTATCTTTTTCTTTAAGCGTCAGTCTTTGGTTTTCATAGTAGAGGGATTCCTAGTTCAAAGAAAAACACATCACCCATTATATAACACTTACCATAAAATTCTTTTCACTGTAAGGCGACTCTCCCAAAACCAACGTCGAATCCGGTTCGAATAAAACATCCATAGTAGGTCTCTCGGTGCTCTGCTTAAATAAGAGTATACAGTCCAAACGAGTGGTCAACGAGGTGCGATCGATTTCAAAAGTGTATTTTGTCCATGAATCTTTGTCTACTTTCACTACGGTTTCTATAGGGCTCGTATCGAGGCCGTTGAAGATAAATCTCACTAGAGACTCGCTGGCGGGCTCCATACACAAACTGAAGTACGTGTCAGCAACGTTATTCTTGAACTGGAATAAGCACGTCGCTGTTAGTTCGTCTAATTTGATCACTGCGTTGATAATAAACGGCGTTGGTAGATAATCCCCGATTTCGATGGTGTCGCTTATTGGTATTGTGACGGATTGATTTGCGAAATTTGGAGCCGGAAAGCCGTCGGGTGCTACGGTTGTCGGTATGTCGGACGGTAATTGGTCCAGCCTCAGTAAGTTGTAACCTGTAAATGAAGTACGTCATCGGCTAAATGAAAATTTTATTGTCTTAGAAAAACTGGCTTTTTTTTTCAACTGATTTGGTTGAAACTGTCTCTAAATATTATGCTCTAAGCTTTTATTGAGTTATTGAAAATTAAATCAAAATTTATTCAAAATTTATGTAGATTGTTCCACAAATACACAGGTCTTCAAGACAAAAACCTTTCATGACTTCAGTGTATTATTGTGTATCAAGTGTAATCCGAAGTTGGCCAGTTACCAGATTACATACTACGTACAAATATAACTGCATGTATGATGCCTTTTATTTCCTTCAGGTCACATAGTAGATAAATATTTTTGAAGATATTTTCGTCGGTTTTTGCGCGTTGTACTATTTTTACGGTCGAGAGTTTTTCTCATACGGGACGAGAAAAAACAAGTTTCCAAATTTACCTTTGCTCAGCATTAAAGTCATTAGATGCTGAACAAACAGATCAGAGAAGAATTGAACCATATAGTTTATTTACAATAATAAAATTACAATACAATACAATACAGTATATAACAATTAAACACAGTAAAAAATTTAAATATATTCTTACCACCAGACAAGTAACTGGAAATTGCTCTTTGGAAGAGTAGTATAGAAAATAAAATGTACCTGAAAAAGAATTAAGAAAATTAGTTGTTGTGATTTCTTTTCATTATCCTTAATCCATAAAAATTAAAAGCAAAGTTGCTGCTGTTAGTATGTACATTCATTGTGTTGAAAATAATTAGTACTTAACCAAATTATTTTGCGCAAATTATCCTTAATATTGAAATTTGGCATGTAGTCCTTTAATAACGTATTTATAAAAACTAGAGGTCCCGCAGTAGTCGAAATTCGACTATAATTAATTGTAATTGTAAGTTTGTACACTATTATGATTGTATTTTATACTTCTATAATCACAAATTTCGCCAAAACTACACTATAAAAATATTAACAAAGACAAACAATATTTCATTTATTCTCAATTTGACAACAGACGTCAAGAGCAAAAGTTTGACAATAAATAGTATGCATGCGTGTGTGCGTCAAATACGTGGTATGTAGTGTGTGTAATGTTTTCTTTAATGATTTAATGTATCTTTTAGAATTATTTAAAAAAAATATTAGTATTGTGCACTTCTTAGTATGATATTTTCCACACTTATAGAGAATATCTCTATATTCTCTATAAGTGTGGAAAATTTCATACTCCTCCGTCCGCGCAATTTTCGTAAAAAGGGATACAAAGTTTTTGCTTCACGTATTAATATATAGATTTTGGCATTTGGTCCACCTGATGTTAAATAAGTGGTCACTGTCACCATGGACATCGACATTGCCATGGGGAGAATGAAGTCGCTTGGCATACAATTTTTTCGAAATAGTTTTAAAATTTAACAGAAAATTATGCTAACGCAATCTATATCGCAATACCTGTTAAAGACAATTTTGAAAACTCCAACACGAATTTTACAACACCTTGAAATCTCCCATGAAAAAAAGCTGTTGAGTAGAGATCCACAGTGCGTTTCCAGAGATCTTTTTTGCCACGTACCATCCGGCTATGGAATGAGCTCCCCTCCACGGTGTTTCCCGAGCGCTATGACATGTCCTTCTTCAAACGAGGCTTGTGGAGAGTATTAAGCGGTAGGCAGCGGCTTGGCTCTGCCCCTGGCTTTGCCGAAGTCCATGGGCGACGGTAACTACTCACCATCAGGTGGGCCGTATGCTCGTCTGCCTACAAGGGCAATGACGCAATCAGAGTCAAAAGTCTCGTTTTAGAAGCAAGTCGACGTGTAGCAAAAATGTCTGCACTACTAAGCGAACGATAAGTAGAGTTAAACCAAACAAAACTGGTATTGCCCAGTGGGTCAGCACGGTTCACGATCGATCAAGTCTTACTCAATATTAACCTTAGAAATGGTTGACACAAAGACGATCCCAGTGGAATGAAAAATGGTGGATGAAACTTTTGAGATTGGAATAGTTTGCGACCCTGATTCCTGAGACCGATCGCCATTTTTCTTACAACCGTTCTTAAATTGTTGTATAAGGTATTCGACACTTTAAATGTTCTTCGTAATATTTAATGGTGATTATTTCTGGACTATTAACAATACATTTTCTGGTATTTTCTTTGTTTTCGTGAGTCGTCGTCCACGCTCGGGACAAATAATAAGTCTGTTTGTGGAAGTGATGTTATATTTTCTTTTAAGTCCGACAATAATAGTTAGGTAAACTTTTTTGAAAATTATAAAAAAGGCGCCAAAGTCGTGATTTTTTTTTAAGGGATTTTATGACCTGGTAACTAAGACCTTTAATTAAAATAAGACATTTATTTTAATTTATATTCATATTTTTATGAAAAATGATAGTGAAATGAAATGAAGATGATTAATTTGAGACATTAATCAACTGGGATGAAATTAAATGAGATGATATGGGATGAAATATAATCTCAGTAAAATGGTGGTCATTTACTAAGATTTTTACAGTGGACTTTTTGGAGGATCCCGAGAAGTTACGTCCAGCGGCTTTGTTTCATTTTCCCACATTTGTGCACTTTCACAGATAAATAATAATAATAAACCAGTATTATTACACATTTAAACCTGAAGAAACACTAAATAGACAAAATAAAACAAATCACACAACTTCACTCCCCGCGTTCCCGCCAAAAAGTCCCAAAATCGTGAGTGAGTGAAAAGTGCACAGATAATATAAAAAATGTGCATAATATATGCATATAATATGCGTTTCGCTTTACGCTGTTTGGATCTTTGAAAGTCGTAAACATAACTAAAACTAACTGAAAATAAACATAATTAGGTAAGGCGATTTAGTTTCACCTTTTTTTTTTCGACTCACCGTTTTCTGTGACCACGAAAACTGTGAAGTATCCGAAGAGTTAAATAATTCATTAAGAATAAAAATAAAACGAGATGAAGCTATAAAAGTAGTTTTCATAGCTTGTTGTTGAAAACACTTATTAATTTCTATAATATTAACTATATTAATAAGCATTTCATTTACAAGTCTTGAAAAGGATTTGTTTTCATTAATATCGCAAATTGATTATGTTTTTTGCAGTCATGCGTTCCGATTTTCAGTTGTATACAACAGAATTGTTTATTTATTTATTTTTATTGCTTAGGTGAGTGGTCGAGTTCACGGCTCACATGGTGTTAAGTGGTTACCGGAGCCCATTTTTTTTGCTTAGATGGGTGGACGAGCTCTCAGCCCACCTGGTGTAAAGTGGTCACTGGAGCCCATAGACATCTACAACGTAAATGCGCCACCCACCTTGAGATATAAGTTCTAAGGTCTCAAGTATAGTTACAACGGCTGCCCCACCCTTCAAACCGAAACGCATTACTACTTCACGGCAGAAATAGGCAGGGTGGTGGTACCCACCCGCGCGGACTCACAAGAGGTCCTACCAAAATCTACAACTTAAATGCCGCTACTCACCTTGAGACATGAGTCTTAGGCCTCAGATTTTACAGTACAACGGCTACCCCACCCTTCAAACTGAATCGCATTAGAGCTTCACGGCAGAAATAAGCAGGGCGGTGGTAGCTACCCTTGCGGACTTAAAAGACGTCTTACCACTAGTAATTACACAAATTATAATTTTGCAAATTAGATTTTTTTTTTCACCATGAGAGTCAATCGTGAACACCAAGCGGTCTGTGAATTTGTCTATCTATAGATCTTTAAAAGATAAAAAATATATATTACATCAACACAAAATTTACGTCAATAAGAAAAAAAACACATACAGAGAAATAAAACGTAATTATAAGTAAACTTTTGAAATTATTCGATGCCAAAATAAATATAGAACTGCCATCGAAATTCACACGAGGCTCCATCGAAAGAGTACACCATCGAATTATAAGAAACGAAAATTAAATATTTGTTTTAAAACGTTTTCAAACGGCTCACAGGGCCCGTTTGCAAGCAGACAGAAATATACACAGTTAAATGATCGAGTTTGTTTACGTTTTGACGCTTTGACGAACCTTTGATGGTAACGAATAGATAAATTAATAATTGACGTCACATTCTTTTGGAGTTCCGCTGATTTTTCGTGGACCACGCAATTTTTGTGTTAGTCTATATATTAATACGTGAAGCAAAAACTTCGTATCCCTTTTTACGAAAATTGCGCGGACGAAGGAGTATGAAAATTTCCACACTTATAGAGAATATAGAGAAGAAGTGCACAATGCCAATATTTTTTAAAATAATACATAAAAGATTTATTAAATCAATAAAAAAAACATTACACACACTACATATCATGTATTTGACGCACACACGCATGCATACTATTTATTGTTAAAATTTTGTTCTTGACGTCTGTGGTCAAATTGAGAATAGATTAAATATTGTTTGTCTTTATTAATATTTTTTATAGTGTAGTCTCGGCGAAATTTGTGATTATAGAAGTAAAAAATACAATCATAATAGTGTACAAACTTACAATTCCAATTAATTATAGTCGAATTTCGACTACTGCGGGACCTCTAGTAATTATAAAGTAGTAACTGCTTTACTATCTCATTCTCGAAGCCAATCGTTCAATATTAATTCGTTCTAATATTTATGAGTTTCGATTCGGTAGGTAGTACAGTCCTTACAGCCGTTAAATATAAATGGGTAATGTTAAATTTCGATCACACGAGCCAAGGTAGTAATTAGGCCGGTGATGTCCATTAACTCCATTAACCATCAAAGACCAGATGGATTGTAAGCTTGTAAAATATGAATTTAGTACGCGATCAATAATAATATTATATATTGAATTAATTATGTCCATTTCTTTTACTAAGGTGCCTGGATTACCTAACATTGACTTTTCTTTCTTTTAGGTTTTCTCTTTAGGTAGTCTCTTAGGTTTCTTAGCAATAGATTCATTCTCAGAAAGATTCTCAGTGACTTCGGGTTCGTCTTTACCAGAGTCAAGTAGATATTCCGGCGCCTTAGTATCAGAAATCGACATAATTACTTCAGTGCGCCACATGTCAGTCAAAAGGTTAATAAATTATAGATTGTATTTGTAGCACACAAATATTGCTAACGCGAATGTTCCGTTTCTTTTTTTTCTTACACCTAAGCTAATAGGCTATGTAAGCGTAGCTTGACAAGTGGGTGAGCTCATGGGGCTCAAACCTGACGACGTTGCTAACGCTAATCCTAGCAAGAGAAGTGCTTCGCAGAATCTACCAGCGGATCGGAAGCGCGACCCACTGAGAAGATCCAGCGAGAAACTCAGTGGGCTGTCTTTGTGGGTTAATTTAATTGCCGAGCTCTTCGTCGCAAGCGACGGCTTCGACGAGAACGGTGACCGGTACTTGGGTTACCTAAAAGCACCGTTAGGGGATCGGGAGGATCCGAAATGACGTGTATTCGTTTGTAGTGTTCACTCCGTGCAAGTCATAAATGTTGTGAGCGGTTTGTGTGAAATTGCTAGTGCAACGGAATAAGTATTCCATTATCACTCGTATTTTTATCTTGTCCATATTTATGAAAAAGATATACCTAAATGTAGTGAAAATTAAACACTAATCAATAAACAAATGAACTGCAAATAGAATTTTAAGAATATATTTTTTATGTAC